ACGAACCTATTACGAAAGGGAATAGAATTTAAATGGACAATAGATTGTCAAGAAGCTTTCGATAAATTAAAAAATATACTATGTAACGCACCGCTATTACAATATCCGAATTTCGAACAACCATTTATTATTACGTGTGACGCCAGTAATTACGCGGTAGGATGCGTACTAAGCCAAGGTGTTATACCGGCCGATCTACCTATCGCATACGCGTCACGTACACTCAATAAAGCCGAAATAAATTATTCAACAACCGAAAAAGAACTAGTAGCTATTATGTTTGGTGTTAAACAATTCCGACCATACGTTTATGGACGAAAATTTACAATCATAACTGACCATAAGCCATTAACATGGTTATTTAGTGTCAAAGACCCAGGCAGTAGGTTACTTAGATGGCGAATAAAATTAGACGAGTTCGATTATGAAATTCAATACAAAAGCGGTAAAACTAATTTAAATGCAGATGCATTAAGTAGAATAAAAGAAATAAATCTAATCGAAGCTACTACAACGTACGACGTATTTTGTGAAGAATTTAATAAAATAATTATAAATACGCGAATAAAAGAAATAAACGGACAAATAGCAAATGCACCTAGGGACTCAATAGTAGTAATAGATTTACCTAGGGATAAAAAAATAACCAATGATCTAACCCAAGCAATAACTAGAGATGTAGACATAGTTAAAATTAATACCATTATTGGGGATATAGCATATATAGAAAATAACAAACTAATTTGTTTGGTAACCAAAGAAAAGGAAAACGACGTTCCTACATACGAAAATATATATAAAGCACTAATAAAGTTAAGACAGCTATGTGAAACTAATAAAATAGATAAACTAACAGTATTTAAAAATGAGGTAAATTATACCAAAGATAAATTAAATTGGTCACAAGTGAGAGCTATGTATAGGTACATATTCAAGGGTACGCACGTAAACGTACTAATATATTCCGAAACCGTAATGAGTAGCCAGGACAAAATAGATGTAATTAAATTATATCACGACTCACTCTTAGGTGGTCATTTGGGAGTGTCTAAGACATTAAAAAGAATAAGAACGCAAATACAGTGGAAGGGAATGAGAAAAGACGTACGACGGTACATAGAAAAATGCGAATCATGTCAAAAAAATAAAAGCTCTAAAAAAATTAAGTTACCAATGGCGATCACTACGACGTCAACAAAGCCTTTTCAAAAGATATTTCTAGACATCGTAGGTAAGCTACCTACGTCTTATAGGAATAATTCTTATATACTTACTATCCAAGATGACTTGACCAAATTTCTATTAACAATACCTTTGGAAGACCACAAAGCTAATACAATGGCTAAGGCATTTGTTACTAATTTCGTGTGTATTCATGGCATACCTATGAGTATATTAACAGATAACGGTCCAGAATTTGTAAGTGAAATATTTACTGAAGTATGTAAAATACTCAAAATTAATAAAACAATGGCTAGTGCGTATAGACCCGAGACAAACGGTTCTCTTGAAAGAGCTCATAGAGTAATTAAGGAAATGCTTAGGCATACGATAGACCAACACGCTCAAAATTGGTGCGAGCACATACCATTCGTGACATTTGCATATAATTCAGCTGTACATGAAAGTACCAATTTCCAACCATACGAGTTATTATATGGCAATCCAGTCGAGTTCCCGTCACCCTTACAAAGGCGATCGGAACCGTGCTATACATATGATAATTACGCGTATGAAATGAAACAGAAAATGCAAGCCGCCCACGGTCTGGCAAGGGAACTACTTATAAAAACAAAACGTAGAACAAAAGAATATTATGATAAAAAACAAAATGAACAAGACGTTCATGTAGGAGATAAGGTACTAATACTTGACCAAGCTAGGAAACATAAACTTACACCAATATGGGTAGGACCATATCCGGTAATAAAAGTATTAGATTATAACGTAAAAATCCAAAAAGAAAAAAGGATAGCTACCTTACATAAAAATCATGTAAAAATATTTAAGGAATAATATTATGATTTAATTATTCGAAATTACATATAATTTTAGGTTTATAATAGTAGTAGGAGTTTTCCAAGCCGTTCGAACGCAAATTTCGCCATACAATGTTTCAACAATTCCGCACGAGAGTGGAATATACTTCGAAAATCGAGGACCACTGAGATTAACCAATTCGGACTGGAAATTATTAATATATATTAATTTAGATAATTATAATAATAGACATATAGAAACAATTAACTTTTATAATAAGACAGAAAAAATATGTGAAACTCTAAAAAAAGAAAGTCCCGAGATATTTAATACCACGTGTGGTAATTTTGCATTAACCTCCGCGTCACTACTACAAGAAATTAGTAGAAAAAGGTCCAATATGCTGCAGTCCATAGACATAGATGAGATAAACCACCGTGAAAAACGGGGATTAATTAATATAGTAGGACATATTCAGAAGACGTTATTCGGAACGTTGGACGACGAAGACGGGGAGATGTACAATACGCAAATAAGGGAGCTCCAAAATAGTAGAGTAGGTCTGTTAAAAATAGTAGATAAACAAACTAGTATATTAAAATTAACAAATAGTGTATTTAAGGAAGCACAGTTAATGGAAAACCAAATTCAAAATTTAAATATGTCGTGTAGTAACCTCGAGATCAGCTTAAAACGCGTTTGGTATCAAATAGACGTATTAGAAATACGAACAACAATAACAAATTTAATAACAACATTATTGCTGCTACTACAGCAATTAGTATTCGAAACAGATATGGTAGGGGAGATAATATCGGCGGCACAAAACGGTATAATACATTCAGGTATAATATCTACTAGAGAATTAAGAATGCAGCTGCGGGACATACTAATAAGTTTGCCCGGGCAATTAAAATTACCTTTTGATGTAAATTACATATCACTTTATGAATTAAGTAAGATTTCAAAGCTGGCTATAGTATATATGAATGGAACTCTCGTATTCGAGTTAGTGATTCCATTACTAAATCCAGTAGAACTAACATTGTATCACATAATACCATTGCCGGTACGCAAAAATCAGCTCTATATGCACCTCACGCCCGAATTCGAATACATGGCCATATCTAAAACACACGAGTACTATTTAACGATTTCCGTAACACATTTAATGAACTGTAGGGAATTAGCGAGTGTAACAATGTGTCCCGAAAAACAACCATTACGTATGGGGTCCGCGGGGTTACCATGTGAAATCGAGTTATTTATGAAACCGACGATAATTCCAAGAACTTGTGCTATAAAATATTTAGAATTATCACGTAGCATCTACCATAAGTTGAAATATCATAATAAGTGGATTTATATAATAAACACGTTGGACGATGTAGCTGTCACCTGTGATCATTGGGATAACGCTAAGAATATACAATTAAGGGGCGTAGGTATAATAACATTAAGTGAACAATGTAGGGCGCACACACCACAAGTAGTATTAACACCTAGCCGACATCTGAAGTCCATTCAGTATATCGACTTCATTCCTCCGGTAAACATACCAGTTAGTGTAAAGATTCCATTACTACCCAGTGCTAAGCTTGAAAGTTTACTTACCCACCAAAATCCAGTAGTCAAGTTGAACGACATTAGTGACTTCTCCAAAACAATCGAGGAGTTAGAGACCGCCGTCCAAGAAGAAAAGGATAGGAATATATTAAAATCAACCAGTGGTATGCATACAAAAATAATTATTATATTAAGTATAATATTAGGTCTGATAATAGCTTACAAGCTATTCAAAATATATACTAACCGTAGATACCATAGTCACAGAATAATCGTGCCTAGAGTGGAAGTAACACAATTATAAAAAAAAAAAAAGAGGAATTTCTTTTATAGTATAATATAACTTATTTTTATAGAGAAATATATACCCGAAATGAGTGGAATAGAAATTAACAGAGCATTCCTGGGGCAATTCTTAGACCAGTTAAAAATTACAATGAACCACGAGTACCATGTGGTACCGACCGAGTCCTATCAATACCGCAATCCGTCCTGTCTAAGGGGACACATCAGCACCACCAACAACAACTTAGGGGATCCTTTTACCGAGGATCAAACCGACCTTATTTATGCACACCTGTGCAGTTTCATTCATTATTCAAAACTAAGAAGTATGGCCGATAAGGCGCCATGCATGATATTATACGGGTTCTTAGGTTTAAAGGACATAGTAATTAATAGGTTGATGGCTATGCTGACGTAAGAATATGATAACTAACTATTTATAATAAAAAAAAAAAATGTATGTAATAAGAAAAAAAAATGTATGTAATAAAAAAAAAAATGTATGTAATAAAAAAAAAAAAAATGTATGTAATAAAAAAAAAATTGTAATGTACTAACATAATATTAAGAATTTTTGTAAACTAATAATACCCGTAAAAGATGGATTTCATGATACTAGTAGATCAGCATTCTGAGCAATAGTTAGAGGTCTTATTAATCATAATCCCTCGTTTTGTGGGGGAGGTGTTGCAAATACTACAGGCCACACGCAGTTCGGTATGCGTCCGATACGTGATAAGCAGCAGTAATTATTATCTAAAAGACAACGCAATAGGTATAAGGAAAGTATGATATTTGTTACATAAAAAAACAAGGCTACACGTAGCAAGGATGTACGTGTAGGTACCTTTTTCCTTATACCAACGCACCTATATAACAGGGACCCTAACGAAAGGCTCATCACTCTATAGTTAGCAGGCTACTAGTTGACGGTATCCATGCTGATTATTTATGTCTTAAATTGTACTGTTTCAATAATTTGAAACTATTCTTAATTGATTTATGTTTTATATTTAATAAACTTATATTATAATCAATTCGAATAAGAGTTATTTGTTCGACTTCGAAGCCTATCAACAGTGTCTCTCATCCGGTTCACAACAAGTGGTTCGATTGCAACATGGCTAGAAAAACGATCCAAGACAACGATCCAAGACACACGTACAAATATGATGAATGATCCGATTCCAATTGCTGTATCTTCTGTAACACAGGTACATCTGAATCAACAATCACCGAATGAACCTACTACAACTCATTTTTCAATGACAACTGAATTAAGTAATGATATTGGTGATTATTTAGAAAAAGGTAGTCAAACTGACCATGTAAAAGCAAGGTTTTTAGAAGCACCTAATGTTCCTGATAATAATTTTCTATACCCTTTTAGTTTGCATAATAAAAAAGGTAAACAAGAAAAAAGATACCTCAAAAGGGATCATTTTATTCAGTATAAATGGCTTGTATATTCACAAAAAAAAGGTGGTGTTTTTTGCAATTATTGTGTTTTTTTTGCAAATAAAGGAGGAAAAGATAAAAATGTAACTCTAAAAAGTTTGGTAACTGTACCTCTTGATAAATATGCCAAAATATTGGGTGAAACTGGTGATTTTAGCAAACACAGTAAAAACTTATACCATATAAATGCAACACAAATGGCCAATGATTTTTTAATTTGCTATAAAAATCCGGAAAAAGAAATTATTAATGTAATTAATAGTACTAGGTTGAAGCAAGTTACTGAAAATCGAGCCAGATTAAAACCGATTGTTGAATCAGTGATTTTTCTTGGGCGACAAAACATTCCTTTACGTGGCCATCGTGACCAAGGCAGCTTGATAGGTAATGAGCAGAATAAAAATAATTTATCTGTAGTAAACGAAGGAAATTTTCGTGAGCTATTAAGGTTTCGGATACTATCAGGAGATACAGTTTTACAAAATCATTTGGAAACAACTAGTGCAAAGGCAACATATATCTCACACACATCTCAGGAAGAAATTATACAGTGCTGCAAAGAAGAAATTTTATTTCAAATAATGGAAAATATAAGAGAAAGCCAATATTTTTCAATAATATTTGATGAAACTACAGATATTTCTCACATTTCTCAAATGAGTTTAAGTTTAAGAAATATAGATAAAGAAAATAAGGTTCATGAACGGTTTATTGGCTTCATTAACTGTCATAACTATGTATATACAAACCATAATGAATTAGATGTAATAGAGCCTTGTACAAATATAAATTTAGAACCAAAACTGACTGGTGAGATATTAGGCAATACTGTAGTTAGTGTTTTAAAAGACATGTCACTGCATTTGGATGACTGTATTGGAATTGCAACTGATGGATGTGCTGTAATGACATCTGTAATAAGAGGTGCCGTTCAACACATTCAAAAGAGCTGTGTCAACGCTGTTCATAGTCCATGTTCTAATCATGCTTTAAATTTGTCAATCTCAAAATCCTCCAATGTACAACTAGTAAGAAATAGCATGGGCATCATCAAAGAAGTTTTATCATTTTTAATTTATCTTCGAAACGCAATTTTATTTTGAAAAATAATCTCAGAGGTCAAAAACGATCAATTACTTCTTTATGTGAGACTAGATGGATTGAGCGGCACGATAGTATATTTGAATTTCAAACAAACCTGAAAGAAATAGTTGATAGTCTTATAAATATTTCAGAATGGGACGACCATGTTTCATCATCAAAAGCCAAAACTTTGATTTTTTCTATATGTAATTGTGAGTTTATTGTGACATTATTTACTGTTACAAGTATATTAAGCATTACTTCAGCGGCTAGTAAATTATTACAAAGTGTGACACAAGATGTTGCTTCTGCCACTAATTGTATAAATGACATTATAAAGACCCTAAATGACAAACGCACTAATTGTGATGTGCAATTTAAAAAAGTATTTGAAGAAAGTAAAAATGTAATGACTGAGTTAGATGTAGAAATTAAGCAACCAAGAATTGTAAAAAAAACAAAATCAAAGGTGTAATACACCAGCCAATTCTATTGAAGAATATTACCGTAGAATATTATTCATACCTATTATTGATAATGTGTTAGAAGATATCAGATACCGTTTCTTGAATGACAAAAACAAAACAATTTCCTTGCTAATGCAACTCATTCCATCAAACACAATTAAAATGTCTTCAGAAACTAGTGATGAATTAATTCAAACAGTCGGTGACCAGTATGCATTCCTTAATTTTAATACATTCATGTTCAGAGGTGAATTAGAATTATGGAAGACTAAATGGACCACACAAAAGAATGAAGGTACTCAATTTACCCACTAATTATATTGTGTTTTGTATACAATTAAAATGTTCATTCAATTTTGTTTGTATAGGATTAAATATTCCAAATGAAGTGTTTTCTGCTTTTGATGAATGTTCTAACATATTTTTCCCAAGTATAAAAAAACTATTATTGGTCTTAGGTACACTTCCTGTCAGCGTTGCTACTGCAGAGCGTAGTTTTTCCACTCTTAGAAGGTTGTATACAAATTTACATTTATTTAATGAATCCAAACATGTTATATAATATTTGTTCTTTTGAACATGAATTTTTGTATTTTTAACATGTTTGAATTATACTAACTTTATTAATTTTATTTGACGTTGCATTTTTATTTTATTTTACTATAAGTGTTATTTTTTTGCTAATAATTGATATTTAATTAGTACAACTATAGAAAATATTTACTATCTTATACTAAATATACTATAACTGTACAAAATAATAATACATGTAATAATAATACTATACAGTATTAAATAATATGCTTTTGCTTTAATTTTAAAGTATGCTTCTTCTTCAATTTGATTGCTTTTTAGGTTGAAAACTTGGATAAGAAGTGAAATGGGCCAAAGTAGATTAACGGGTTTGGCGCTTTTGCATATACACAGGCAGCTTCCGTTAAACGTAGACAAGATAATAGACCGCTTTGCTAAGAATAAAAGATGTTTAGATTTTGTTATATAAACCATTAATCAATAAAATAAATTTGTATTCTATAATGACTATGGTGATTTGTTTTTAATAATGTAACATTTCAGTGACAAGATAATAGACCGCTTTGCTTAGAATAAAAGATGTTTATGATACATCATAACACTCAGTATCTGAATCACATGTAAATTAATAATATTTTTACTATTTCGCCCCCCCCCCCCCATAGCCAAAGTCTGGAGACGCCCCTGCACAAGGTACACCTACGACAACCGCCACTACAGACGAGCCCACCATTCAAACCCCACCCACAATCACAGCCATGACACCAGCACCGACGATACCACACCCAACCAATTCCACAAATCACAAAACAAGGAACGAACACCACGTAAGCAAAAGCACTAAAAGACGCAGGCGACGTGCCTTCTATAAAGCCATATATAGCACACACCCCACCACATAGACTCACCCAAAATTCTACCATTCATAATTTAATAATACAATCATGCCAATAAACACACATATAATGATCAAACACCCATTTTTACGAGACATATCGAAATTCAGAAAATAACAAAAAATCATTACCACCCAAATTATTTATAACACATTCTTTATAATACACAACCACTAACACAGTCCTAGTCCACATATCTCATAGACCAACGTCAATTAAATTCTAAAGCCTCTTCTATATAACCGACAACACAAAATATCACAACAATTATCCACATAACCATCCTGTACAATCTTAATATACTAACAAATACGAACTATGTATAATCGATAACACAACAAATTATTTCAACAGATCAAACCATTTTTTTAGTTTATATAAAAATTCCCCACGAACACAATGTAAAATCACATCACACCCAACTTTTGCATTATGTACGTATATAAAACTTTGTCATTTGTATAATTAACCAAACCTTGAATAAGTAATTGTAAATACACCGTGGGGACACGGTGAAAAAAGAACCTCCGTGCAATTTTTAATATATGAATAATACACTTTATATTTAAATAAACTTGTAAAATGAATATATATCAGGTAGGTTCATACTTGGGTGTAAAAACACAAACGCAATTAAAACATATTACGCAATACCTTGAAATATTAGGCAACCAACATTCCTTAACGATTACATAACAATATTTCCGAGACGTACATACACTAAAAAAACGCATATGGGCACGGTTAAAATGAAATCAGTGGCGAGGTCATATATCTGGTGGCCTGGTATTGATAATGATATACAGAACATCACAAAAAGTTGTGTTGCTTGTTTAGCTCATAGTAATAATCCACCTAAAAGTGTATTAAATAGTTGGCCCTGGCCAGAAGGACGATCACAACGTGTACATTTAGATTTTTTGGGACCTGTAGATGGTAAAATGTTCAGTGATAATTAATGCTTTTTCAAAGTGGTTATATGTTAAACATTTACTTAATATTACTACAATATCAACTATCAAAGTGTTAAGAGAATATTTTTCAATTTGGGGAATTCCAAAAAAATTAGTCACTGACAATGGACCTTCTTTATGTTCATATGAAATGGAAGTTTTTAAAAATTAATGGTGTTACACATATTAAGACTCCACCATATAGTCCTTCGACTAATGGAGCTGCAGAAAATGCAGTCAAAACCTTTAAAATGTTTCTTAAAGTGTGCAAAAAATTCAGATATAGAGGACAACATTAGTAAATTTATTCTAGCGTACAAATCATTGTTCAACTGGGTTGAGTCCTGCAGAGTTACACATTGGTAGACAGTTGAATATAGCATTGGATAGGTTAATAGTCAAGGCAAAATATAATTATACAAAAAGCTTAGAAAGAGCCAAGGAAAATTATAAGGGTGGTAGAACAAAAACGTATGAAATTGGAGATGAGGTTATGTGTAGGAAATATGGAGAAGGGAATAAGCGGATACAGGGAAAAATTATACAAAAATTATCACTTGTTACATACTTAATTAAAATTATTAAGGGTAACATTTATAAGCGACATTTAAACCAAATAATTGATTGTATGAATAAAAATGGAACAGAAGTAGAAATTAATGGAGATTTATTAGAAGAATTACAAAATGCTGATGATAATAAGGATAATATTAAAGAACAAATAGTGTTGGTTGGATACGGAACCGTCGCACGTTTCGCGGACACTGGTCGACCGTTATCATTACCTCCCACCACGAGCACCCGCGCTCCTTACAACACCATCCCACCGTTGTCGCGCGTTTTTGTACTGTCGCCGTTGCGTTGTTGTCCGCCGTCCGTCGTTCGTGGCTCAGCCATCTTGGCTCGTTCGTCGTAACGAAATTGTGTTATTTTTTTATGGCCGTCTGCGCCGAAACCACCGCCCGGACAGATTTTGAGTCCGTTTTCGTGTCGTGTCCTTGTGCATACACACGAATTGTGTTTTAAGGCCGTTTACGCCAAAACAACCGTTTTCGTCCGATCGTCGTGTACACAGTGCGATCCTCCGTGGTCCCCACGTGTTTTCACGCCGTGTGACTTACGCCGCGACAACGACGTCCATACGCGACGAGCCGCAATATTACGCGGCCGTGGTTCCTTTTCGGACCCGCGTCGTCCGATTACGACACCTTTGTCCATCAAGCCGTTTTAAGTACACGGTAAGTCCATGAGTTCATTGACCCGCCGGCCGACGTCGCCCTAGTCGACGTGCGGTGTATCGTCGCGATCCGGTTCCACCTCCATCAGCTGATTGTCGTTCCGGGACAGTCAAACCATCTCCACCTTATCATAAACGTTATCAGGTCGTACACAATATTATTGTTGTCAAATTGTTTTATTGCTCGCATCACGCGAACTGTGTATTATTTTATTTTCACTATTGTTTTTTCTTTATTGTGATTGATTTATGTGCCGATTGGATTGTGATCGCGCACACCCTTAATTAGTATTACTAACTCTAGCTGTTAAGTCATTTATTGCAGAACAGTAAAATAAATATTGTTCTGTACATTGTCATACCACCAAACTCTGTGTTGTTGTTGGTTACCTTGTATTCATGGCCTTATAATCGAAATACTTCACTTTACCCTATACAGTTCACTCTCTCCGTCTCCTCCCCTCCTACAGAGTTACGAGGAAGATATTGATACGAAGACAACAAGCGCGTCGTTTTACGTGTAGCTGCCACCTGTGTACACACAAACACGTATACGCGCCGCCCGGCTTCGTTGTGCAGCCGCCTTTCGCACAAATAGTTATAAGTGAAAGTGTTAAAGAGGCAGAAAAAGAAGTAGAATTGGAAACAGAGGATAAAGTTGAGGGGGTGGAATTGAGGAAAAGCCGTAGGGTTATTAAACCTCCTGTTCGTTTGGATTTATAGAGTATTGAATGTTAATTTATTATTATTATTATTTAATTATAATGTTAAATAATTAATATGTACAATATTACTTATATTATTTTTTTTATTATTATACAATTAGTATTATATTATATTTAATAATTTAATATGAAATGTAATTCATATGTAAGTCGGGAGGACTGTAATGTATGTAATATGTATTATTCCATGATGAATAAGTTTAAGGTTATGTTTTATTTATTATGTTTTTAAGCTGTTCGTCAATATATTATGTTTTAATGTCATACCTTCTTGCTGTAGTTCTGAAATGTTGTATTAAGACAATTAATAAAGTGAATGTCTAATATATAATGTAATATGTGTTAATTATTAGTACTCGGTACACCACAGTCTACGTTAAGTGCTAGAAGCATTCGTAGCAGCGAAACTAACATTACGGCCAAGCAAATGTATATCTAACCAGCTTTTTTTTAACTTTGGCATTTTTAGGAATTCTAAAAAATTTGCAACCATCCTTTTCGTTATAGTGATTGCAACTATAATATAACCATTTATAGCTATAATCAAATAAAACAGCAAAAGCAAAATAAACAATAAGAAAATACCGCCGTACGTCGCTACATATGCAAGAGCGGTATTTACTATTAATACTTATAATACAAATAAACTGATGTGCATTGTGCACCAGCCCTAACTATTAAAAACTATTTAAGACTGCCTAATTTATCTACTAAAATTGATTTTCATAGTGAAAGGAAGCGTGTACCGCAGCTCCAAAATGTGCCCTGTGCGGCATTGCACTGGTAAGTAGTACTAATAATTCATAATATTTTAATCTTGTTTAGGGTTAAATAACTTAAATAATAATTAATATATTCTTTATGATCTTAACTCTTATTATTGTTATAATTTTAAATATTTAGTAGAACGTCTTGAACTTTTAAACTAAAAAAGTAAAAAGTACATCATTTTGTATAAACAAAATAGTTTGTTTGGATCCAAAACAAAATTGTTGATAATAGTGATAATACTAGTCAAATGTTAGTTTTTGATCAACTATACATCCTAAATATTTATATTCATTCACCTAGGACAACCTACGAAGTTCACCATGGCTACCGACCGCGTTTTCGATCTGGAGCGCTGTCCGCGTTGAGCCGTACCCAGAACTAGAGTACTCCGCCCGAGGACGTTCAAGCGGAGGTGAGTGACCGGATAGTTTTTGAACAAGCAAAAATGAAAACCCAACACGACCGGAAGCACTTCAACGGAATTTGGTTTGACGTCGGGGAGGTGGTGGTCATGTTGAAACAACCCATGGCGGGCCAGCCGACGAAGCTACAAGCCAAATACCAAGAAAAACCACTGCAAATAATGGAACGACGAGCACTAGCAGAACAGCCACAAAGTCGATACTAAGTCACAACCCGTTTACCACAATTTTATAATTTAATTATTTGGACTTAGAATATTTTCGTGTTAAATAAATACAAATAAACTATCATTATACCATCAACTTGTTATTTTAATTCAAAATACCATCAATATTGAGTTGAAGTGGTTGGTACATTACAAAATTTGGCGCTGTGGACAGGGTATCTCAAAAGGATACTTAGAAGAAACCTGAAGAACAATTAAAAAAAAATTTTCAACTTCTAAAATTCAATCAAGGAGGAAA